TTTATGATGACAGGGAAAGAACTTTTAACAAAATAATTTTTGGAGTCAAAGGCCTCGAAAATCACATGCAGCCAAAGAAAGTTTATTCTTTGTTATTTTTGGTGAAACTTGCTTGGAAGGAGGAAGTAAGCTGCTTCCTGAAACTGAATGAGCTCTTAGAATTGATGCAGGCCACTTGAGACTAACACGGCAGCACGTGATTTATTATTTAGTATAATTGAATAGTTGAGAATGGGAATGTTTGTTTCCCCCTGGCCCAATATAATGAATTAAGAGGCCCTTCAATTATTTGGTAATGATAAGTGTATGATTGTGTTGAAAGGCAGCAGGAAATGAATCTAGATAATTTGTCTGGGGCATTCACTGGGAATGCTGAGCAGATAGATGCTCTGTGCTGATGACAAACTCAGAGGGTTTGGGAATGCATCTTCAGAAAGGTTCAGGATGATCCTGGGAAACTGCCTGTAGAGCTGAGTTTGCTACTCACAGGCACTCGGAGTTACTCACATTATAAAAGACGATTTGATACACAAGAGGAACTGAAGCTTGGAGTGGGAGGGGCTTGGGTGTATTCATAGTGGTAGGTGAGTAAAAGCTAAGGCTGTTTCCTGATTGGTAGTATGAATGGTCATTCGGATGCACCAGTTTTTGTCACGCCTGTACATGTGACCATATGCATATGTGAGTGTTCTATCAGCTTTTATGCTTGCACTGCCTTTATCTTTATCCCAAGTTGTGATCAGATGGCATAGGCCCCCCTTTTTGCTGCATTAGGGAGACTGAACATGTAATGCCTCCAAGATATTTTACTTTGGGCAATTATTTATCTTAATGTCCTTTTTTACTTTCTTTTTCTCTCTTGTCTCTCTTTAATCTCTTCTTGTCATTAGTCTTTCTTCCTTTTTTGCCCCATTCTCGCCTTCTTTCTCTCTCAACCATTTTCTTTTTCTCTCCTCCACTGACTATTCCTGTTACTTTTTTTTCTTCCTTTGAGGATTTTATTTTTTATGTTTTTAAAAAGATTTTATTTATTTATTCATGAGAGACACACAGAGAGAGAGGCAGAGACAGAGGCAGAAGGAGAGAGAAGTAGGCTCCCCGAGGGGAGCCTGATGCGGGACTTGATCCCAGGACCCTGATCATGACCTGAGCCAAAGGCAGACCCTCAACCGCTGAGCCACCCAGATGCCCCTTAAAGATTTTATTTTTAGGTAATCTCTACAAACAATGTGGGGCTTGAACTCAACAACCCCAAGGTCAAGAGTTGCATGCTCCATTGACTGCGCCTGCCAGGTGCAAATGAAATTTTTTTTTTTTTTCTTAAGTAAGCTCTACCTAATGTGGGGCTTGAACTCACCACCTGAGATTAGGAGTCGTATCCTCTCCCGACTGAGCCAGCCAGGCACCCCCCATCCGGTTACTTCTATTTAAAAGCCAAGATAATAATAACATCTGAAAAGCTTAACAGTAGATGATCTGTCTCCGGCAAGAGAAAGGCAAGACCTAAGTTGTTCTACAACAATTAAACATTTGTTGACTACCTACTATATTCTAGATTGAGAGTAATTTCCATCCTAGAGGACTTTATAGTATCCCATCAAATTAAATCTATAGCACTCTTGTTATTTTATGACTTTGTGATATTTTGTGGATGTACATTTCTTTGCAAGCATGTTTTTCCTATTGTTGACATTCTTTTTCTGCTAAAATATGTTATTTCAGAGACATGATTTTAACCAAATTAGTGGAAGTACAAAGGAGAATAAGAAAAAGTAACTTACAAAAAAAAAGTAACTTACAATCTTGTCTGTAACAAATTAGACTATTTCTATGTTTTCCTCTAGTATTTGTCGAAATATTTATGTAATTTTTATGCAGTGGAAATTATAGATAAATTTAATTTTGCATTCTTTAATTTATATTATTTCATAAATGCTTTCTAAAATATAATTTTAAATGTTTGAATAATACACCACTCAGTGCAAAAGTAAGTAACATTGATGGAGTGTCTGCTGTGTCAGACACTATGCAAAATAATCGGTACCCGTCTCATTTAATTCCCATAGTATCCCCAAATGATAAGTGTTACTATGTCCATTTCATAGATGAACACACGTTGAGGCTTAGCTTAATTTATTTCAGTTTGGTAAACATTAATTGAGCTCTACCACATTCTAGGTATGATGTTGAGTTCTGGACATTCAAAGATGAGTGGGACGTGGTCCCTTCTATAAGGAATTCAGAAAATGGTGGGGAAGCAAATGAGTAAAGATAATTTCAGCATTCTAAGTGCAGTGACATAGAAGATCATAGAAGGGACGCCTGGGTGGCTCAGTGGTTGAGCATCTGCCTTCGGCTCAGGGCATGATCCTGGGTCAAGGATCGAGTCCTGCGTCGGGTTCCTTCATGGAGCCTGCTTCTCCCTCTTCCTGTATCTCTGCCTTTCTGTCTCTCATGAATAAATACATAAAATCTTAAAAAAAAAAAAAGATCATAGAAGAACCCTCATCCTGACCTGGATTAGGGTTGGTCCGAGCAGTTTTGCTAGAAGCAGTGCTTCTCAAACTTTAATGAGCATATGGAAGTACCTGGGGTTCTTGTTGTAATGCAGATTTTGAGTTTTGGTGAGGTCCAAGATTCTTCATTTCTAACAGACTTCTAGGTGATGCTGCTGCTGCTGTTCCACATACAGGAATAGGAATATCCTAGATGATACAGGATTTGAATGAATACCAGTTAGATATAGAAATGAGGAGAGTATTCAAAACAGAAAGGATAGCATGGGAGAAAGGCACAGAAGCATAAAAAAGTATGTTAGTGGATTAGCTCCTTATAATCTATGGCAGGTCTTGGCAACTATGGCTCACTGCAGAATCTAGCCCATAGCCTATTTTTGTGTAGCCCACATGCTAAGAATAGTATTTAAATTTTTAGGGATCCCTGGGTGGCACAGCGGTTTGGCGCCTGCCTTTGGCCCAGGGCGCGATCCTGGAGACCCGGGATCGAATCCCACGTCGGGCTCCCGGTGCATGGAGCCTGCTTCTCCCTCTGCCTGTGTCTCTGCCTCTCTCTCTCTCTCTCTCTCTCTGTGACTATCATAAATAAATAAATAAATAATTTAAAAAAATAAATTTTTAAAGCATTGTAAACAACAACAACAACGAAGCAAAACAGCAACAACCCAAAGAGTAACATAATAGAGATGCATAAAGCCTAAAATATTTACTCCCTAATCCTTTACAGAATTAGTTTGAGACTTCTGATCTGTGGTATAGTGAAGTGTAAAATCCGAAGCAGGCATAATGGAGGACGTGTTAGAGATAGTAAGCCTGATTGGAGGGATGGTGGTCACCAAGGGACACAGAAGAGCTTGGCCTATATCTCTGAGGTGATAGAGAGCCAGGACAGGATTTAAAGAGCGAGGTGACAGGCTTAGCTTATGTTTTAGAAAAATTTCTCTAGCAGAATATAGATACAAGGGAGCAATGCTGGAGGCAAGGATACCAATTGAGAGATCTGAACAAAGTAGGAGGGGATGGATTTGAGAACCACTGGGACAAAGTTTTTAATTCTCTTTTGACTGTAACCCATAGAAAGATAAATATTTTATTTCATGATCCAGCACACATAGACGCATCCATAACCAAACTTATCACAAAACATTTGTCTTTAGATGAAAAATATTTCCATTCCATTAAAGAAGATTTTGGTTACTACCTAGTATATTGATTTCATATTGGTTTATAACGTACAGTTTGAGAAACACTGATCTAGGGAAGTAAAAACAGTAGGTTTTTATCACTGATTTGATATAAGGGAGTGGGCAAACAGGGATTGGTATGGATATATGGTGTCATTCCCAGATGAACTCAATAATAGAAGGGGAAGCTATCGGGACACCTGGGTGGCTCAGTGGTTGAATATCTGCCTTCAGCTCAGAGCATGATCCCATGATTCAGGATCGAGTCCTGCATCAGGCTCTCTGCAAGGTGCCTGCTTCTCCCTCTGCCTATGTCTCTGTCTCTTTCTCTCTTGTGTCTCTCATGAATAAATAAATAAATCTTAAAAAAAAAAAAAAGAAGGGGAAGCTATTTGGAAGGTAGAAGTGACTCATTTTTGTATGTGTTGAATTTGAGAGCACTACGGGAAACTCAGGCTTTCCAGAAGATCAGATACTGATTTTTCATTCAGTGAGTATTACTGCCTCATTGTTTTGTTCACCTGCTGTTATTTCAATAGCAACATTTTCTACTGTTTTTCTACACAAAGGTGTGTGTGTGTTTCAGGATTTAATAAGCTTTCCATCCCAGGCTAGGAATTCAGCCATTGTTGCCAATATTGTCAATGCTATAATGAGAGGAATCCGTTTCAAATAGTTGGCTTACATGGAAACTTTGTAAATCGAAGTCTAATTTGTACATACTATTTTGAGATGCTTATTTAATTTAGTACTTGCATATTAGTTCAGTAAGAGCAATATTTTGATATATTGAAATATCCAACAGAATAATCAAATCACATCAGTTAGTTTGTGGTACTATATGTGTGCACTTTGCTTTAGTTCTATAGTTTTTTTTTTTTTAAGATTTTATTTATTTATGATAGAGAGAGGCAGAGACACAGGCAGAGGGAGAGGCAGGCTCTATGCCGGGAGCCCGACGTGGGACTCGATCCCGGGGCTCCAGGATCGTGCACTGGGCCAAACCGCTAAGCCACCCAGGGATCCCCTAGTTCTATAGTTTTATCATACAGATATTATATGCTATTAGAGGGTTATCAGTTTCATATTTCTTTACTTATTTTATAAGGTTAATATAGGACCAGTGGCATTTTATCTATACCTTTCCCCCTGATAATTTCATGATTCTTTAAAGATTTACTTTTGTAACTAAAAAAAAAAATTTCCTAAGTTGACTTTGAGTGTAAATAACATATACATACCTAAGTTTAAGTTTTATTTTTTCCTAGGAATTAATAATTTTACATTTTTGTTTGTACAGATTGAATACCTGCTTAAGAAACTTACAGAAGCTATGGGAGGAGGTTGGCAGCAAGAACAATTTGAACATTATAAAATCAACTTTGATGACAGTAAAGATGGCCTTTCTGTGTGGGAACTGATTGAGCTTATTGGAAATGGACAGTTCAGCAAAGGCATGGATCGGCAGACAGTGTCCATGGCAATTAATGAAGTCTTTAATGAGCTTATATTAGATGTGTTGAAACAGGTAAGAGTCCTGTAACACTATTTCTCCTCACCTTTAGAATTTGACATATTTGAAATAAGACATTTTCCTTATTAGTCATTTATACTTTTACACCGATTTATTTATTTATTTATTTATTTATTTAAAAAAAATTTTTTTATTTATTCATGATAGTCACACACACACACACACAGAGAGGCAGAGACACAGGCAGAGGGAGAAGCAGGCTCCATGCACCGGGAGCCCGACGTGGGATTTGATCCCGGGTGTCCAGGATCGCGCCCTGGGCCAAAGGCAGGCGCCAAACCGGTGTGCCACCCAGGGATCCCCCGCTTTTTTTTTTTTTTTCCAGGGATCCCTTTTACACTGATTTAGAACAGGAATAAAGTTTCTTAATTTCCCAGGCTTGTATTAGGCTTTCATTTAAAAAAGTTACTGGTGCAATTTTGAAGTACACTTAAGCATTGAGAAGTTACTATTTTGAAAGAACTGTTTAAGTGACATTTCTGACTGTTTTTAAAGTACTTTCATGTCATGTGTACATCCATTTGTTGATCTGAAAGATCCTCATGGCATATTATTCAGAGAAAAAAACACAGGTTGTTCAATAGGAAGTATCTTGTAACCCTGCTCATGAAATGTGATATATGCGTGTAGGGCTATCTGGAAGAATGGTCACCAAAATGTTAAAAGTGATTGTCTCTGGATTGTGGGATCTCTGTAAATTTTATTTTCTTCTTTATTTTCCTTTTTAATTATTGGACTTATTACTTTGTATATGATTCTATACATGAATGTATGTATATGATTATATATTTTTATGAAATCAGAAAAATACCCTTACTTTTGGGAGAAAATACCTTTATGTAGCAAAATTATACTTATTAGATTATGACCCACATAGCATCTGATATACATATGGGAAGCTTGATGCTTGTTAAATAGAATTTATATATTTTTAGTGGATCTTACAAATTTCTTAATTATTATACTGAATAATAACTCCAAATTGAGATTTCCTTACTTTGGCCTTTTATTTACTCAGCAGATGTTGTCTTTACTCTTTTTTCCTAATTGAGCCCATCAATAAACATTAATTGAGGTTTCATTTGTGTAGGTTTTTAGTGCTAAAAAAAGGCATGAGACATGGTCTCTGTTCAAAGACTTGTAAGCCCACCAGGATAGCAGGATAATCTGACTTCAGATGAATTTTAGTATGAGATAGCTTTTACTTAAATGTCCAAGAATAGGGAACTGAATAAGTAATATGATTAGAACTTGGTATAATAATTAAATAATATGGCAAGCTAATATATATTTAATGGTAATGTATGATCTACTACTGGTTATTAGCACTTACACATTTGATGATTAAAATGTTAGCTATTCTTGGAGTGCCTGGGTGGCTCAGTCAGTTAAGCATCTGGTTTTTGTTTTCAGCTGGGGCCATGATCTTAGGGTTGTGAGATTGAGCCCTGCTTTGGGCTCCATGCCCAGTGGGAAGTCTGCTTCGGATTATCTCTCCCTGTGCCCACCCCCTTGTGTACCTGCACACACTTTCTCTCAAATAAGTGTGGGGAAAAAAAATCGGCTATTTTCAAACAACCCTGAAGGGCTTTGGCTGATAACGTGTCATTTTGCTTAAGTAAAAATAATGAATTTTTACTTTATCAGTCATATCATCTTTGTGACTAATATGGGGGAAGGAAGTATAGGCCTAGAAGTGTGAGTGTAGGAGCTACATTTAGAAGCCAGAATCCTGAGACACTTGGGTGGCTCAGCGGTTTAGCGCTTGCCTTCAGCTCAGGGCGTGATCCTGGAGTTCTGGGAATCGAGTCCCGCATCGGGCTCCCTGCATGGAGCCTGCTTCTCCCTCTGCCTGTGCCTTTCATGAATAAATAAATAAAATCTTAAAAAAAAAAAAATGGAGCGAGAATCCTGCTAGTTCCTTTTCTGTTCATCTGAAGCAGAGTTCTTTTTTCCAGAATAGGGAGAGGTCAGGTAGAAGGGGAGGTTGGTGCCAGAAGGTGATTGGTTGGTTGAAAGATATATTTGCGTTTCGTGAGGTTTTAATTTACTGACAATCACTTAGAGTTTTGTGTGTGTATGTGTTTTAATCAGAATAGAATAGTGTAGTGAACTCCCATATACCATTCATCCAGCCTCAGTAACCACTGACACATGGTTAATCCTACTCTTCCTACTTGCTTAATACCTTCAAGATACCTTGAAACAATCCCAGATAGTCATTTTATATATAAATAATTCAATAGACATCCCTAAAAGATCAGGAATTTGAGGGGTACCTGGGTGGCTCAGTTAAGTGTCTGACTCTTAGTTTCAGCTTGTCATGATCTCAGGATCATGAGATTGAGCCCTGTGTCAGGCTCCATGCTGGGTGTGGAGCCTGCTTAAGATTCTCTTTAAGATTCTCTCTCCCTCCTTTAAAAAAAAAAAAAAAGAATTTTAAAAAATCACAATGCTTTTGGCACCAGGAGTTCTAAGGCTACTTATCTGTATAGCACTAGGGGATGGCAAGTGCAGTGGACAGTTGTCTCTGCATATCCAGAATTCTGGTAAACTTTTGTGTGCACGTATTTGTGTGAATTTGACTGGGTTTAGTGCCCTTGGCCTTTATATCCTCAATAGGTTCATGATCCATAAAGGTCAAGAACCACTGATACTCGTGTATTCAAGGAAGAGATATTAGCTCTTAAAGTAAAAGGCCAGGCATTTATATCAGATTTAATCTTTCATAGGGTTACATGATGAAAAAAGGCCACAGACGGAAAAACTGGACTGAACGTTGGTTTGTACTAAAACCCAACATAATTTCTTATTATGTGAGTGAGGATCTGAAAGATAAGAAAGGAGACATTCTCTTGGATGAAAACTGCTGTGTGGAGGTAAGAATCTACTGTTACCACTTTCTGATGCTGCCCCCTGCTGCTCAAGTATTTTATCTTGCTTCTGGTCTTTAGAACCTTAAAATACTCTTAAAATTTACATTTCTAAAATAGTATAGGTGTACGGTTGCCAAACTTCCTGAACCAAAAACCAAAGATCCCTGACAAGTTTTTTTATAATGTGAATTTGTTTTCTGTCTCATGAACAAAGTATAGGGATTAAGTCAGATTTATTTGTACATTTAAGGAAACACTTATTCAATAAAATGGAGTTCTAAAAAAAGCAAAAAAAAAATCAGTAAGACAGGGTTTGAAATCATGAATATATGAGGAACTCTGGGCCATTTTGAATACAGTAAATAAAACTAAAGAAAATATAAGTATTACCTTTGAATATTTTAGGTAACCTTCAGGACATCTTACTTAACATTTAACAGCTGTTAATTCTATAAAGTGAAGTCTTCAAGAAACATACATTTTGAGTTTTTGATTTGTATCGGAACTATCATAACTGTATTTGTTGAAGAACATTTAAAATACCTAAAATCTCGCTTATAAATGAGTGTGTTTTGATGGATGAAATAGTATAGATATATTAATGTCTCAGGGTGTGCACTGCCACTAAGGGGTCTTCTTAGATTCAGCTAAATGTGGAGATTCACGAGATTAACATAGGCCATTCCAGTCTACTTATAAGGATATAGGACAGGAGCTATAGCTTGCTAGCAGTAATATCTCAGGTGCAAAGAAAGTGTATCTGCATCAGGCAGGTATGGAAATCACCCTGGGTCAGAAGCCTCATGGCGCGCTGGAGTCAATACCTGTTAAAACAACGTGGATATACCTTCCAGGGTTCCTGTAAGGGGTGTGGTGTGCTCATGTATCAGTTACTGTGCTCAGGAAAGCCAAAGCATGGTGTCTCCATCAGGTGTTGATGGTTCTCACAGTCCAGATGGAGTTTACTAATCAGGGTTCACTGTTACCATAGGTATTGTTGCCTACAGGATAGCATTCTGTAAACCAGAAATATACCCTTATAGACATTTTTCACTGACACTGAATTTCGGCCAGATTTGTATAAATGATTAAGGTTGGATTTAATTTAAATGCTTAAAATAAAATTTTAAAAAGCTGTTTTCGCTTTCTGTGTTAGCCCTTGCCTGACAAAGATGGAAAGAAGTGCCTTTTTCTCATAAAATGTTTTGATAAGACTTTTGAAATCAGTGCCTCAGATAAGAAGAAGAAACAGGAGTGGATTCAGGGTAAGGCAATTTTTATTATTTGTCATGACATAACTTGAGTTCTGACTTTGTATTTTTAACCTTATTAAAGATACTAAAAGCATTGTTCCCTCATTGTAGTTATTTCTACATGCAGCATAGTAGCTGAAAGAAAAATAAAGTGAGAGGAGTTCCCAAATTTTTCATCAATTTCATTTGTATAATGAATTTGTGGGAAAATTATAAACTGGACATTTCAGATTTTATTTACTTTTACTATTTAAAGAGAATGGAATTTCCCCTTTTAAAGACTATTTTAAAGTGACCATCTTGAATTTTTAATAATACAACAAAAGAGGAATAATGCAGTCACTTTTAAATATTTCCAGTAATTTTCAAGATCTGTTATTTTCACAAGAAATCACTAGTTTCAAATAATTGTCTTAAGAGCACAAACTTTTTTTAGAGATTTTTATTTATTTATTTGACAGAAAAAGAGAATGAGATAGCGCAAGCAGAGGAAGGAGCAAAGAGAGAGAGGGAGAAGCAAGCTCCCCACTGAGCAGTAAGCCTGATGGGGGGCTCCATCCCAGGATCCTGGGATCATGTACTTGAGCCTACAGCAGATGCTCAGTCGCTCAATCAACTGAGGCACCAATGCCCAAGAGTACAAACTTTTGATTTAATAACTTTTAAACTAAAGTATTATTCTAAAATTAGTAAAGCATGAAATACCATATATGAGGGTTTTTTTTAATCATGAAAGAGGCTTCTGCATATATTCTTGAACATAAGTAAAATTATGTTATACTGAAAATTGTGGTCATTTTGATGTGACTTAAGATTTTGAGGCAAGTGTATCTAGGTTTGAATCCTCTTCCCTGGGTCACTTGAGTTGAGTTATGAATTTTGTAACTGTTTTTCCTCTTCTGTAGAATGGGGATAATAACAGTACGTACCTCTCAAGGTTTTCGTGAGGTTTAATAATTCGATAATGAAGATAGACTTGCACATTTTAAAAATGGCATGTCATTGCAGAAATGTGATAGATTGCAAACAACCTAAATGTCCATTAATTGCAAAATGGTTGAATAAATAATGGAAGAAACATAATGGGGTTCTTTTTAAGATTTTTTTTAAAGATTTTATTTATTTATTTATTAAAAAAAAGATTTTATTTATTTATTCATGAGAGACACAGAGAGCGAGGAAGAGACATAGGCAGGGGGAGAACAGGCTCCCTGGAAGGAGCCTGATGTCGGACTAGATCCCAGATCCTGGGATCATACCCTGAGCCGAAGGCAGATGCTCAACCACTGAGCCAACCAGGCGTCCCCACAGTGGGGTATAATGCTTTATTTTTTTAAAGATTTTATTTATTTATTTGAGAGAGAGCATGAGAGAGAGAGCATGAGCAGAGGGGACGGGGAAAGGGAGAGGGAGAAGCAGACTCCCTGCTGAACAGGGAGCCTGATGTGGACCTTGATCCCAGGACCCTGGGACCATGGCCTGAGCCGAAGGCAGACACTTAACTGACTGAGCCACCCAGGTAGCCTGTTTAATGCTTTATATACTGATATGGAAAGCTCTAAAGAGATATTATTGCTAGCTCTCGAGATAAATTGAGTGAAAAAAAACCCTCAAGGCTCAGGAGAGTGTATTAGGTGAAAAGAAGATGGAGGATCTGTTTGTTTGTTTGTATATGCTTAAAATATCTCTGGAAAGATGCACAGGAAACTGTTGGCATTAGTTGGTAGTGGAGAGGGAGATGACACTACTTGGGGAACAGGAGGGAGACTTCCCATATGTCTTTTCATGCTTTTGAATTTGAACAATGTGAAAGTGTTAGCTATTGAAAAAATCAAATTTAATTCAAATAGTAAGGAAAATACATAAAAATTAGATAATGCATGTAAAGGGTATCCTTATAGTAAGTATTCAGTAAATGATAGCTACTCTTACCATCTCAGGAAGGGAGTGTATAAGGATATGGTTTCATAAGGCATAGATAAGGGGCAGACTAAACCCAGCAGGTAGCAAATCAGAGATCAGGAACTTTGAACCTCAACTCTTACTATGTCTTGTTCTTACTTGGTCCTTTGAGAAACATAGAGAAGGGCACTGAAAATGTTGTTAAATTCTTCAAATGTGTGTGATATTCCTGAATCAAGTACCTATTTAAGCAGAGATAAGCAGTTAATGGAATTTTGGAGCTGGTAGGGACTCTAGAGATGACATCTTTCATGTTAGAGATGAGGAGACTGATGCTCCAGGTTTTGACCTGCTCAAGGTCACACCACTACTCAGTGGCAGGATCAGAATCTACACTGGGTCTCTGGTTTTCTTTCCAGTATGCCATCTGCATTTTAGGCTTATGAAGAATAAACAGTCTGTCCCTGTTTCCGCCCTACACCTTTTATAGCCATTCATTCTACTATCCATCTGCTGAAGTTGGGCAGTCCCCCACCACATAAAGAAGCCCGTCAGCGACGGAAAGAACTCCGGAAGAAGCTGCTGGCTGAACAGGAGGAGCTGGAGCGACAGATGAAGGAGCTTCAGGCTGCCAATGAAAACAAGCAGCAGGAGCTGGAGACCGTGAGGAAGGTGAGAATGGCCACTGGGCCCGAGGAGGGCTCTCTGTTTCACTGTGGGGGCCACAGCTACTTTCCTTATAAGCTTTGATTCTATCAAGACCAGGTGCACACAGTTTTAGCAGATGTTTTGGTAAATTGTTTTCTCAGGAAGTATGTCTAGATTGCTGAGTGAGAGAGATATCCTGGTTTTCCCAGCCCAAGGCATTTCATTGACCGAAAAAGAATAAGAATAGTGAGCACAGTTGAATTTTGTCAGAGAGGTATGAGGAATTTTATTCCCCTAAGGATGTCAAGGTCACTTTTGGTGATCTGGGCAGGATGTATTGCCTTTTTAGTTTTTCTCCCCTTAGCTCCCATCCTTACTTGTGAATACCCTTAGTGTAGAACTGTGGGTCTCACTTACCATTTGGAGTCAAAGATACAGAGTCTGGGTTAGTTTCTCTTTTCATCTCAGGGCTAGGAAGTCAAGTACTGTAGATTATATAGTTGACATTCATTGGAAAAACTGGTTGCTTAGTTGTATCATGATTGTGGGGGTGTTGGTGGGTTTGGGATGGGTTGAGCCTATCTGCCTTAAATGAGAGAGCACCTCCTAACTATAAGATCAAAGACCCTTTTGTGTCTCCTATGTAGCACCTTTTTCCTGGAGTATGAGAGATGCTCACAGTATAAGCCCCCACATTCCTGATGGGGTTCTCTCTTTGCAGTCCATGAAAATGCCACACTTTGTGCTGACATCCTCTGAGTAGACTCACAAATAATTTTCTAATACTTTTATAACCTTACAAATTATGTGAGCATCCGATGTTAGAAATAGTTGTTCCTATCCATCATCCCTCCTTTTTTTTATAATTTAAATTCAATTTAGTTAACATACAGTATATTATTAGTTTCAGAGGTAGAATTTAGTGATTCGTCAGTTGCATATAACACTCAGTGCTCATTACATTAAGTGCTTTCCTTAATGCCCGTCACCCAATAACTGCATCCCCCACCTCCCTTCCAGCAACCCTCAGTTTGTTTACTATAGTTGAGAGTCCCTTATGATTTGCCTCCTTATTTTCATCTTATTTTATTTTTCCTTTCCTTCCCCTATGTTCATCTGTTTAAGTTCTATATATGAATGAAATCCTACAGTATTTGTCTTTCTCTGACTTATTTCACTTAGCATGATGCCCTCTAGTTCCATCCACAGCATTGCAAATGGCAAGATTTCGTTCTTTTTGATGGCTGAGGAATATTCCATTATATATGTATATATCATATATAGAGTGTATACAAAGAATCATAAAGTGAATACCCCTGAAATTACTACCCAAGTTATATTTATATATATATATTTATATTACAAAATTCTGGTGTCCCTTTTAATTTCTTATTAGTTTACAAACAGTAAGATTCATGGTTTATATATCATTTCATGAGTTTTTATATGTGTCTAGATTCTTGTAACCAGCACAGACAGAATGAAGAAAAATTCTCATGCCCCAATGAATTTCCTCACACTGTCCCCTATACCCAGATTGTCCACTAATCCCTAACCTCTAGAAATCACTGATCGATTTCTCTATTTCTATGTTTTTGCCTTTTCCAAATTGTCATTTAAATGGAATTGCACGGTATGTAAGTTTTCAAGACTGGGTTCGTTGACTTAGCATCATGCATTTGAGACTTAGGCATCTGGCATCCTTTTAAACTATATATGGACTCTTTTAAACTCTGCCTCCCATGAGCATGTACGTCTTCTGTTCTGCTTTATGTGAATGTATGCCCAGTGTTGGCAAGGACCTAGGCCAAAGTAGACAGTTTTCCTACTACCTAGTTTTACAAGAATTACTTAAGCAACTAACTTGATAGTAAATGTTGAGAATTATAATAGATCCCTTAATAATCTTTAATTTTATTTTTCTTGTTAAAAAATACAATTCATCAATTTTCATTGAAACATATTTAGAAAAAACCTGCTTGGATGAATATTTTAATCACCTGGAATTTGATAACATTTGTGAGGTTTGTAAGACTTGATTGGCCTCACTTGGAAGAAGGAACAAGAAATTATGGTAGTTTCTGTAAATTAATAGATTTCTTTAAAGAGATTGCCCAAGTATTCTTTTTTGAAAAAAGACTATTTTTGTAGAGTACTTTTAGGTTCATGACAAAATTAAAAGGAAGATAATGGAGATTTCCCATATATACCTCCAGTGTCAACAGATGCATGGTCTCTCTTGGTATAAACATCCCCTTCCAGAGTGATACATTTGTTAAAGTTGATGAAGCTACACTGACACCTATAGCACCCAAAGTCCATAGATTACTTTAAGGTTCATTTTTGGTGTTCTGCATTCTGTAGGTTTGGACAAATGTATAATGACATGTATTACCATTACAGTATCATTCAGGCTTATTTTCACTTCCCTAAATCCTCTGTGCTCTACTTATTCATCCCCCTCTATTCCCAAATAACTTTTGTTTATACTTTGGTTTCTTTTAAAAAATACAATCTTTTGTATAGATAATATAATCATATGGTTCAAATTTTAAATGATACAAAAGAATAAATCCCACTTGATCATGGTATATGGTTCTTTTAACTTGGTTTGCTAATACTGCATTATTTCTTTAGTATGGAGAGAATGTATGTTGCCATAATAAATACCACGCAAAGCCTATAGCTAACATTGTACTCCGTGGTGGAAAGCTGAAAGCTTTTTCTCTAAGATCAGGAAAAAGATGCCTACTCTCAGCACCTTTATTCAACATAGTATTTGAAGTCCTAGCCAGACAATTAGGCAAGAAAAAGACATCCAAATTGAAAAGTAAGAAATAAAATTGTCACTATTTGCAGATGATGATATTTTATGTAGAAAAAACTGTCAACTCTGTCAAAAAAAAAACTGTTAGAACTAATATAAACAAATTCAGTAAAGTTATAAAAAATCAATATGCAAAAATCTGTTGTTTCTAGGGGTGCCTAGGTGGTTCAGTCAGTCAAGCATCTGCCTTCAGCTCAGGTGATGATCCTCAGGTCATAATCCCACATCGGGCTCCCTGCTCAGTGAGGAGTCTGCTTAAACTTCTCCCTCTGTCCCCTTTTTCTGCTTGTGCTCTCTTGTGTGTGCTCTCTCTCTCTCAAATTAATTAATTAAATTAATTTAAAAATATTTTTAAAAATCTGTTGTTTCTATACACTATTAATGGACTATCAGAAAGAGAAATTAAGAAAACAATGCCAGTCCCCTCTCAATGGACATTTGGGTTGTTTTAATCTTTGATTAAATAGGCAGTGCTGCAGGGAATTACTTTGTACCTGTGTCATTTTATACGCATTTCAATGTATCTGGAATAAATTTTTAGAAGTGGGATTGCTGGAGCAGAGTATATACATCTATAATTATGAAATCCAAGCAGGTGCAATAGCTACTATTTCAAATCTTGCTATTCACTGTACCAGAGGAAAAAGTGTTCAGTGGAGTGCCTGGATGGCTCAGTTGGTTGGCTGTCTACCTTTGGCCTGGGTCATGATCCTGGGGTCAGATTGAGTCCCACATTGGGCTCTTTGCTCAGTGGGGTGTCTGCTTCTTCCTTTTCCTCTGCCTTGCCACTCCCCCTGCTTGTGCTCTCTCTCTCTCTCTGTCAAATAAATAAATAAAATCTTTAATTAAAAAGTGTTCAATGATTTGCTGATTAAGTACTCCAGCCCAGAAGTATCACATTTCACTTCTATTTACAGTACTTTGCTCAGTACTAGTCACATGTTTCTGTTGAAAAGTCAGCTCTCAATCTTATTGGTGTTTTCTTTTTCTTTTTTTTTTTTTTTTAAGATTTTATTTATTCATGAGAGACACAGAGAGAGAGAGAGAGGCAGAGGGAGAAGCAGGCTCCATGCAGGGAGCCCAACATGGGACTTGATCCCAGGTCTCCAGGATCAGGCCTTGAGCTGAAAGCGGCACCAAACCGCTGAGCTATCGGGCTGCCCCTTATTGGTGTTTTCTCGTGTGTAATGAATCATTCTTCTGTTGCTTTCAGGAGTTTCTTTTTGTCTTTCTGTAGTTTAATTATTATGATGTGTGTGGGTATGTGTCTCTTTGTGTTTATCCTGGAGTTTTTTAAACTCTTGGATGTGTATATTAATGTTTTCCATCAAATTGGGAAAGTTTTCAGCCATTTAAACATTTTTCTATTCCTTTCTCTCTTTCCTCTTCTTGTGAAATTCTCATTATGTGGATGTTGGTACACTTAACAGTGTCCCACATTTCTCTGAGGCTCTGTTCATTTTCTTCATTCCTTTTTCTCTTTGTTCTTCAAATTGCATTTCTCCCTATTGATCTTTGATTCTTCTTGCAGCCCAAATACATAGGTGAGAACCTCTAGTGAATTTTTTACTTTAGTTATTTTGCTTTTCAACTCCAGAGTTTCCATTTGGTTCTTTTTATATAATTTATATAATTTATATATTTTTATTCATAATCTCTATACTTTGTTACTTCCTTAAGCATGGTTTCCTTTGGTTCTTTGAACATATAACTTCTATGAAATCCTTGCTAAATCCACCATCAGGGCCCCTTCAAAGGCAATCAGTTGTCTGCTTTTTTTCCCTATATATGTGTCACATATTTCTTTTGTACATCTCATATAATTTTTTTTTGTTGAAAACTGGACATTTTATTTATTTTTAAAATTTATTTTTTTGGGATCCCTGGGTGGCTTGGCGGGTTAACACCTGCCTTCAGCCCAGTGCGTGATCCTGGAGTCCCAGGATTGAGTCCCACATCAGGCTCCCTGCATGGAGTCTGCTTCTCTCTCTGCCTGTGTCTCTGCCTCTCTCTCATGAATAAATAAATAAAATCTTAAAAAAAATATTTTTAATTCCAGTGTAATTAGTATACAGTGTCACATTAGTTTCAAGTATACGTTATAGTGACTCAGCAATTCCATACAATACTCAGTGCTCATCACAGTAAGTGTATTGTTAATCTCCTTTACTTGTTTCACCCATTCCCCCCACCCAGCTCTCCCCTCTAGTAACCACCAGTTTGTTCTCGTATTTAAGGGTCTGGTTTTTTTCCTTTCTTTTTTTCTTTGTTTTGTTTCTTTCAATTCCACATATGAGTGAAATCATATGGTATTTGTCTTTCTCTGAATTTTACCATTGTAGTAGATCCTTTAGCTCTATCCATGTTGCAAATGGTAAGATTTCATTTGTTTTCGTGGCTGAGTTCTATTCTATTGCGTGTGTGTGTGTGTATGTGTGTATGTGTACATTTTCTTTATCCATTCATCTTTTGATGGACATTTGGTTGTTTCCATATCTTAGTATTGTAAATAATGCTGCAATAAAAATAGGGATGCATATATCTTTTTGAATTAATGTTTTTGTATTCTTTAGGGGAATACCCCATAGTGTGATTGCTGGATCATATGGTAATTCTATGCTTAATTTTTTGAGGAATCTCCACACTTTTTCCAGAGTGGCTGCACCAGTTTGCATTCTCACCAACAGTGAATGAGGCTTTTTTTTTCTCCACATCCTTGCTGACACCTCTTGTTTCTTGTGTTTTTGATTTTAGCAATTCTGACAGGTGTGAGGTGACATCTTATTGTGGTTTTGATTTGCATTCCCTGATTGATGAGTGATGTTCAGTATCTTTTCGTGTGTCTTGCTCAACTGTAGGTCTTCTTTGGACAAATGTCTGTCCATGTTTTCTGCCTTTTTTTTTTTTTTTTTTTTAAGTAGGCTCCAGCACGGGTCTTGAACTCATGATTCTGAGATCAAGACACAGGCTGAGATCAAGAGTTGGACACTTTACTGACAGAGCCACCCAGGCACCCCTTTCTGCCCATTTTAAACTGATCATTATTATTATTATTTTTAATATTGAGTTTATCAGTTTTATCAGTTCTTTTTTTTTTGTTTTATCAGTTCTTAATGTGTTTTGGATACTAACTCCTTATCACATAGATCATTTGCAAATATTTTATCCCATTCAGTAGGTTGCCTTTTAGTTTTATGGATTGTTTCCTTTGCTGTACAGAAACTTATTTTGATATAGTTTATTTTTGCTTTTGTTTTCTTTGCCTCAACCTATCTAAAAGAATGATGCTCTGAAGCGATGTCAGAGAAATTACTGCCTGTGCTCTCTTCTAGGATTTTTATGGTTTCAAGTCTCACATTTAGGGCTTTCATCTATTTTGAATTTATTTTTGTGTATGGTGTAAGAAAGTGATCTAGTTTCATTCTTTTGCATGTAGCTGTCCAGTTTTCCCAGCACCACTTGTTGAAGAGACTTTTTCCCATTCCTGCTTCCTTTGTTGTAGATTAATTGAACATATAATTGTGGGTTTATTTCTGGGTTTTCTGTTCTTTTCCATTGATCTATGTGTCTGTGCCAGTACCATACTGTTTGATTATTACTGCTTTATATAGTCTATCTTGAAATCTGGGATTGTGATACCTCCAGTCTTGTTCTTCCTTTTCAAGATTGCTTTTGCTATTTAGGGTCTTCTGTGGTTCCATACAAATTTTAGGATTATTTGTTCTAGTTATGTTAAAAATGCTGTTGGTTTTTGATAGGGATTACATTACATTAGATTGCCTTGGGTGGAACATTGTAACAGTGTTTATTCTTCCAATCCATGATCATGAAATATCTTTCCATTTGGAAAACTGGACTTTTTAGACAATATATTGTAGCAACTCTGGGTATGGATTTCCTCCCTCCCCTCAGGGCATGCTGTTTGCTTGTTCATTTGTTTAGTGACGTGGCTGGGCTATTACAGTGAGTTCTGTTTTCTTCACACTGTGAAGCCTCTTGACTGTCTTCTTCAGGCACAGCCTTGGGCACGCACAAAGCACCCTGGGATGACCAGGACGTTAGCACGGTTCTCTTTGTGTGTCTCTGTCTCTGATATCTCTGTTAAGCTGTCTGCCTCTTTTGGTATCCTATCCAGCTGTTAGAGCTCTATTGTTTTCAACAGTGGCACAGGACCTAAATTGCTCCGGAGTCTGATATTACTTAAATTCAAGCCCACTTGTGGTCTTTGAGACTTGTTCCTATTACATGAGGGCTCTTTTCTGTCTCAGTTTCTAACTTCTAGCTGATCTGTGGTTTAGTTTGTTGGTCTTGTGGAGCAATGAGCCACCTCTTAATTCCTTAAAATTTCTGTTGCTTTCAAGAGTATCATTAAGTTTGAACTTCTTCACCCTGTGTTTTAAATAACCTTTTAAATAACATTTCTGGGGCGCCTGGGTGGCTCAGTCAGTTAAGCATCTGACTTTGGCTTAGGTCATGATCCCAAGGTCCTGGGATTGAGCCCTGCAGGGAGCTTGCTTCTCCCTCTTCCTCTGCCTGCCCACGCTCCCTCCTGCTTGTATGCTCTCTCTCTCTCTAATAAATAAATAAATTATATATTTTTCAAGATTTTATTTATTTATTCATGAAAGATACACAGAGAGAGGCAGAGACATAGGCAGAGGGAGAAGCAGGTTCCCCACCGGAAGCCCTATGTGGGACTCGATCCCAGGACTTGGGGATCACGCCCTGAGCCAAACAAAGGCAGACGCTCAACCGCTGAGCCACCCAGGCATCCCATAAATAAAATCTTTTTAAAAAGTTATGTCATGTCTTTTGGGGAGAACTTCTGATCTTGCCTATCTGTCTGGCCAAACCGATGTGCCAGTGCTCTGGAGCTCGTGGCAGAAACAAATAGTCTCTTTCTATTGGCATGGTATTCCTGCTTTATGAGCCTGTCACCAGATGGAGGTGGTAGCCTCTGGTCTTCTAGGCTTGCCTCTTTTGGTGTGGAATTTCTTCTGTACAGGTAATTGGGACAAGGGGCTGATGGTGCCTAGTAATTTCTGCCTGTCATCCCTGAGTTCAGCGGGGCTGGGTGGAAGAAAGAATCTCAGACCTCTTAGTCACTTTTGCTTGGAATAGAGGTTCTGCAACATGGGGCTGGAAAGAATGAGAATACTAGTGGCTGCTCTTTCTGGGGTGGGGTACTGTAGCTAGACTATGAGGAAAGAGCTCCCTCTTTACCAGGAGTAGAACTTTGTTCTCACTGACATTGTAGGGAGGAAAGGAAGGCACACTATGGCTCAAATGCCACAGACTCACTGTTCTTAGTAATATTTAGTAGATTTTCTTGGATAAATGGTCTCCATTTGCTGTATGCTCTTAAGATAATTTCCAGAGACTTTAAATCATTGTTTTGGTGTTTTTTTTTTTTTTTAATTATTTTCACCAGTTATGGATGTTCCACTAGGGGAATGGGTCCGTGGAGCTCCTCATTGCCACCCTTGTTAAGTCAAGCTCTGTTAAGTTTTAAGGAATAATGTGTGAGATGATAAAACCGTACAGAAAGAACTCAAGAAATAGATGTTGAGGGCAGCCTGGGTGGCTCAGCGGTTTAGTGCCGCCTTCAGCCCAGGGTGTGATCCTGGAGACACGGGATCAAGTCCCACGTCGGGCTCCCTGCATGGACCCTGCTTCTCCCTCTGCCTGTGTCTCTCCCTCTCTGTTTCTCTCTGTGTCTCTCATGAATAAAGAAATAAAATCTTAAAAAAAAAAAAAAAGAAATAGATGTTGAACCTCATGAGTACATTTGCAAGTTAAATTTAACTCAATGACTATACAAAATTTTCTTTTCATGATGTCTTTTCATGATGTTCTTCAGACTTAAAAAGTCATTCATTTACCTAATTTATTTTGTATATTGAATGGAAAATTGTTGGAATGGAATTCCAGTGGATCTAAAAGCTTTTTTTCCATCTTGATTGAACATTAAGAATGTTTGGCTTTTCCCATGTGCTTAAGTGTGGCCATTTTTCTCCTTTTTTTCATATATAGATTTTTTTAAAAAAGATCTTGTTTATTTATTTATTTTTAAGATTTTATTTATTTATTCATGAGAGACAGAGAGAGAGAGAGAGAGGCAGAGACACAGGCAGAGGGAGAAGCAGGCTCTGTGCAGGGAACCCGATGTGGGACTTGATCCTGGGACTCCAGGATCATGCCCTAGGCCGAAGGCAGGTGCCAAACCGCTGAGCCACCCAGGGATCCCCCATGATTTTATTTATTAAAGAGAGAGAGAGAGAGCATGAGCAGCGGGAGGGGCAGAGGGAGAAGCAGACTCCCCACTGAGTGGGGAGCCCAGATGCAGGGCTCCATCCCAGGACTCTGGAATCATGACCTGAGCCAAAATCAGATGCTTAACTGACTAAGCCACCTTAGGTGCCCCCATTTCACTTTCTAACACACCTCCACTCTAATATTTACTGCTTTTCTGTGGGTGGGTTTTTGATTGGGTAGAAACTGGAAGAAGCAGCATCTCGTGCAGCAGAAGAAGAAAAGAAACGCCTTCAGACTCAAGTGGAACTACAGGCCAGGTTCAGCACAGAGTTGGAGCGAGAGAAGCTTGTGAGTACCACACAGCTGGGAACTTGGAATGCTGCTGCATTGGCTCACAGAGCCAGTCTGCGTGAAGCGGGAGGGGCCAAGGCCCGGGAAGCCAGAGTGAGGCCTTCGTGTCAGCTAGGCTATGCTTCTGACATGCAGTGAGCTATGGGGAAGTTCTGTGTTTCTTTATTCATTATGGGTTTATTGAGCACCTTCTGTGTGCCCGGCACCATGCCAAAGATATAAAGATAAAAAGAATATAAATCTTGCTTTCAGGACTCCAGAAGTGAAATTCATGGATTGGGGTGGGGGCTCAATACTGTGGTTAGGGTGACTATATTTCTTGGTTTGCCTAGGATAGTCCTTGCTATCCTGATATAGTTATTAACAGCATCCCTTTTCCTTCTCAAAGAGTCCTGGCTTGGAAAATAAATAGCTATGGAAAAAGTAAGCATGGTATTTCTCTTCTGTAATGAGCAAAGTTCGCGGGGAGGTTCTGAGATCATGAGAACATATGAATTCTGATCTGTTGCTCTTAGCAGCTCTGATTCATCTTAGAGGTTCCCATCCCCCAAGAGACCCAAGAGCCAGGTTGCTTTAGGTGGTTAGCTAGTTCATTGGAACACAGGTTTGTGTACAGAGTTGTAATGTGTGGAAGAGAACTGAGCCCACTCTCCATTAAGTAGATGCTCTTGACATTTTTTAAGTAACTTTTTGTTGCTTCGCATTGAGACAGACGTGTTCCTGTTATGAGAGAAAATTACACAGGCAGGCAGATGTGGGGTGAAGGAGCAAAGCTTTCACAGCCAGAAGATCTGGGTTTCTTTCCTCTCTGTACCTGCTTTTGAGCATTAGTTTTTTTCTTCTTTAAGTTGGAGGCCTTGTCATGTGATCGCTCATGACTCTTCTGAGGATGAAGTGAGCAGTGAGAATTTTATAAACTGCAGACACATACTAGTGTGTGTGCTGTTACATTTAGATGTCCTTGTCTTTCAATTTTTAAGGCAGAGATTTAAAACTGTTTAATTCAGAAAGGAGAACACATATACTTGTTAGGGCGCTAACTTAGGTACTCGAGTCCCCCCAGGGCTGGATGTGCCCCAGGGACGGAGCAAGGGGCCTTGAGCAGCCAGAGGTGGGAGGACCCTGGCCATTCCTCAGTCTTCCCTTTCCCCTTTATTTTAATCCTTTGACTGTTTTAAGGCAGAGATTCATTCCTTTTGGAGAAGATTGTGGGTAAAGAGGTTGTGGCATTATAATAGAAAAGAATTTAAAAAGAAATTATTCAGGGAAATAGTTTTTTTTTTTTTTTTTTTCCTTGACTTGACCTTAAAGTGTGGTGTGGAAGGGATGGAACCCTACTGGGGAGGAATCATAGTTTGTCCCCAGACTCTGGGTGTGGTGTTGGTATTGGTGTTGGGTTGGTGCTTTCCTTCCTCCACCTGCCATTCTGGAGGGAAGGACTGGGCCCTGCCCACCCCAATGCACTGTAGGTAGTGGCATCGTTCATGATGGTGGAGCAGTGGGAGACTTGCCCTGAGGGTAAAAGCAACCTGAGTTTAACGTGACCCTTTTATGCCATCAGATCAGACAGCAGATGGAAGAACAGGTTGCCCAGAAGTCCTCTGAACTGGAACAGTATTTGCAGCGAGTACGGGAGCTGGAAGACATGTACCTAAAGCTGCAGGAGGCTCTCGAGGATGAGAGACAGGCCCGGCAAGATGAGGAGACTGTGAGGAAGCTTCAGGCCAGGTGCCACATCAGTTTGTATCCTGTGCCTTTAAGTACTTTGCTTGGGCTAACGTCATTTCTAGGAATGACTAAGGTCCTGGTGAAGAGGGGGGACTGTCTGCCAGATTGGCTGGCCAACTTGTTTGTTCTCATTCTCGGGCCCTGATAGAGCCTTGCTTCTGGGGCTCTGGACAGGCCTTCTATCTGTTTTAGAGCAGACAGGTGGCCAGACCTGAATACTGGCTTAACCAAAGGAGCCTGAGCAGCCCAACCACAGCACAAACCCATCCATGGGGGAGAGATCATTGAGGATGCTGCTGATATCACCATTGCCTCTGCTATCACTCAACACTGGATGTTGCCACCAGCAGCAAGACAAAGTCTCCGTTGTCTCTGCTCCTGTGTGTCAGTTGCTTCAGTGTCAGAGTGCCAGGAAGGGCATCTGCTTAGCCAAGCCCAGCTCAGGCTTCCACTGAGCCCTGGCTGCCAAAGGGCAGGAGGGCGGGGGTCTGTGGCTTATGTAGTGGGAGATGGGCCCTGCTTCCCACCTAGACCCCTACTGTGGTAGATTCCTTGGACACATGAAGGGGATTCACACTGGGTAGCCTGAATACCTCCAAATGTCCATTTCCCCTCCATACTCTTACCACTAGGATGAAGAAACAACAGGCCTTTCTAGTCTCATTCAGTCCTTAGAAAAGCACACAGAAGGTGCATAATACATGTACACTGAGTAGGTAAACATTGGTCACACCACATTTGCAGTCTTGTGTTCAGTTGTGGATCTCACACTCCAGGAGACATTGGGGGAGGGAGTGAATGGTCTTGTGTAGAACTAGGGGTAGTGGGTGGGAGAGCTCCTTCTAGTTGAGGAAGAACTTCCTAGGGATGAGGCTGCCCGTAAATAAACTCACCTAATTTGTGAAGCAGTGGGTGGCCCATCCCTCAGGATAACCAGCCCGCAGGGTATCATAGAGGGCCTGCTGGGAGTGGTGACAGGAGGCTATCTGGACTATTACTTTATTCCTTCAGTCACTGGCTTTGAAAGAGCATGCTGATGGTCAGGCCACTGGAAGTGTGCCCCGTGCTGGGCTGGCATCTAACTACACTGTCTGTACTTTGGGTACAGGTTTGGATTGTACGTTAGTATATTTAAATGTCTCCATAATTGGATATTCTTGGATAGCCAGTTCTTCAAAGAACATTTTGGAGTCACACAGACCTTGGTTAAAATCCACTACTACCTGTGCAACATACTTTTAAACACCCTGATTTTTTATTGCTTCATCTGGAGGGATGATAATACCTTGCAGAATTGATGGGGGGTTAGCAATCATGAAGTTATGGTTCTGACATGTAGTGATTGTTCAGTAAGTGGTATCTGTTTTATTCTGCCTTTTGTTGGCTCCTTCTTCCTTCACCTTGATAATAGGTTTGTATTAGATGAGAAGTGTTTAAATGCTCTAGCAACCAGGCAAATTTCAAAACTTGGCCCTCTCACCTGCCAGGTGAATGACTTGATACAGGTCACTTCACTTTTGTGCCTCACTTTCTTCATCGTTGACCTGTGCATATTGATAGCACTTAAGTTTATTGTGAGGATTGGGAAAATACACTTAGCTCTTGGCCCAGTTTGTGGCACATTAAACCTTTCATAAATGTTACTTTTGTTTTCAAAAAAAGGGTGAAACAGGAGCAGGGTGAAACAGAATACATGGGTTACCTTACCAGCTTTGTGAATATGGGCCTCTGTGGCTCCTAGTTTCTTCCTTGTAAAATGAGGGAGGTGGATTAGATGACCTGAGGTCTGTGTGCTCCTCTCAGTGGCTCTATCATCTGCTAGGGTGGGTGTGGGAGCCCAGGCAAGTTTGATCCTGACTCTCTGTGTTACAGGTTGCTAGAAGAAGAATCTTCCAAGAGGGCTGAACTAGAAAAGTGGCACTTGGAGCAGCAGCAGGCCATTCAGACAACCGAGGCAGAGAAGCAGGAGTTGGAGAATCAGCGTGTCATGAAAGAACAGGCCCTTCAGGAAGCCATGGAACAGCTGGAGCAGCTCGAGCTCGAGCGGAAACAGGCACTTGAGCAGTATGAGGTAATTCACCTCATCCCTGCAAATGTGCATGTAAAGTGGTAAAACCAAACATTTAGACCTCTAAATATAACACTATGTTAACTAACTGGAATTAAAGTAAAAACTGAAACCTTGAGAAATAATATTTGCTTATTTTAAGAGGCTACAGTGAGAATTTTGCTTAGCTGTAAGAAGTAGTTCTTGCAGGTGGTGAGGTGGATCTGGTGATGTCCAGTGAGGAGGCACACAGTAATTTGAACACGGGAAGCTTAATAGAAGCAGTGATTACCCACAACAAGGGGATTACCTGCTAAGCAGTAGAGAAGACTCTAAGGATGCAGGAACTACAGGTAGAACGGCAGTTACGGGAGGCAGCCCGTGCCTCTGAGGCTGAGGCCGAGCACCCAGAGGGGGAATACAGATGCAGGAGGGTTCCCCTGGCTCCTTGCCAGTGATCCCGACCTCCCTGAAGAGGGCCTGGCCTTGGCCCCCTGGACAGCAGAACAGCTGTGACTGGGAGGCTGTCCTCTGAGCACTGGGGGAAGCAGCCCACAGGGCGGTGTCCCTAAGGCCTAATGGGGTGAGACCTGGGTGCCCCACATGCTAGGCCGCTGAGAAGAGTGGCAGGTTCTTAGCAACTGAGAAGGGTCCAGTGGAACCTGGAAGCAAACCTCCTTCCTCAGCATCCCTTCAGGGCCATTTACTGATGAAGCTGAAGTGGTGTCAGCTGTCAGGGAGAGTTACCCTAAAGTCACACGCAGGAGGGGAAGACGGGATGTGGAGCCTAGGGGCGGTGAGCCTGAAGCACACGCAGGAGACATTCATGTGCAGCATTGCAACTAGGTGCGTGGGGCGCCCTTGGGCAGGTTAGTCAGATTCTGCATTCCGGTTTCTGTGTCTGTCAGATGCGGGTAGTAAGAGTTCCTGCCTCTTTAGAGTGGCTGGAGGATTCCGTGGGATAACCCAAAAGGATGTAGTAAGTGCCCAGACATTACTTGGCTCTTAAACTCCCACTGTGTCTGCATGATCCGAAATCTACTTCTGTTCCAGGGAGTTAAAAAGAAGCTGGAGATGGCAACTAGTAAGACCAAGAGCTGGAAGGACAAAGTGGCACAGCATGAAGGGTTAATCCGATTGATAGAGCCAGGTAACATGCTCCTTGAAGTGCTCAGATATATTTCCAGTTTATTTTTGTTTTATTTTTATATTTGAGTTGTGCTGAAAATCTTCATTAGCCCAAATATATAGAAACCAAGCTAGTGGGGCAGCCCAGGTGTCTCAGCCGCTTAGTGCTGCCTTCAGCCCATGGTCCTGGATCCTGGAGACCCTGGATCGAGTCCCACGTCAGGCTCCCTGCATGGAGCCTGCTTCTCCTTCTGTGTTTCTGCCTCTCTCTCTTTCTGTGTCTCTCATAAATAAATAAAATCTTTAAAAAAAAAAAAAAAAAAGGAAACCAAGCTAGTTAGGGTCAATGTCTCTTAAATTATTTGCTGTGTAAAGGATCAGAAGGCCCAGGTAAATTCCCCTTGTGCACGTCTTCTGGTTGTTTTGGCCAGTATGACATTTATGGATATTTCTCAGAAATAAAAGAGAAAGTTACTGTTTTATCTATGGGAAAACAGTTGTGTTAACTGAAGGATATGGGACTTCCTGTATGTAATGTGTGTTTGTCTCTAGGTTCCAAAAACCCCCACCTGATCACTAACTGGGGCCCTGCAGCATTCACCCAGGCGGAACTTGAAGAGAGAGAGAAGAGCTGGAAAGGGAAGAAGAGCACTGAGTGACCAGTGACGCAGTGACAAGCGGGCAGGGGCCCCGTCGGGTGTGCACCCTCCGGCTGTAGCTGGGATGCTGATGCTGGACACACAGGAACTGGCTTGGCTGCTTCCAACCCTTCTTCCTTCCCTGCCTCCTGTCAGCTCAATATACGAAGGAAGCCTTCTTGTTTATCTTCCTGAAAATAAGGGCCTACCTGAAAAGAAACAAAAAGTCGACACTATCATGCTCTTTATTTACTTTCTTGGAAAACTTTAGCTTCTGAAAACTCCCTTTAGCTCCCTCAGGTGCTTGCTGGAATCAGGCAGAGCACAGAGCCGGGGGGGTGGGTGGGGGGATGCCACCAGCTGCCATGGGTACGGGGGTAGGGGTAGGGGTGGGGGCACCGCTGGGGCCCCCGCTCAGCCTTTCCCCAGCACATGCCCTTCCAGCTAGATTGCTCTGCCTGCCTCGTGGAGCCAATTGCCATGGCTACTTGCGAGTGGCCCCCACTCAGGGGTCCCCATGGCCCCGGGGGTCCTGGCCTGCGCTGGGAGGTCGCTGTCCCCTGTGTATCGGTTTCTGCTGATGCTGATTGACATCCCGACCCCGTGGCATCAGCTCCAGGAAGGAAACACCTTCACGCAGTGCTTTGGCGGAGATAGAAACTTAGGAATCAAAGACAGCGCAGAGATGAACTCGGTAAATCCCATTTGGAATGATAATTTGATACTAACTGAAGCCTTTCTAATATTTAAGATGGTTTCAACGGTCAGTGTGCTGCCAGACCCCTGCTTTTACTTTTGTAGTTACTGTACAGAACATTTCAGGAATGTGTGAATGCTTGTCATAATCAGGCCTTTCCTTAATAAATAGGGACATGATCATTTATAGGAATTATACATGAAGAAAGTTTTAAAAATGTATTTTTATGATGTCCTATGTTGAGAGGGAACAAATATTTATAATTTTCAAATATTCTTACCTAAATATTGTACAATGTAATATGCTGAACTTAATTTTTTGCTAATTTTCTAAGATGTATTAAAAATGTTTTGTATGTTTGGGTTTTTTTTTGTTTGTTTTTTTAGTAAAATGGACTCAGTAAGAAAATAAAAGTACCAGAACAGCATGCATTTTAAATTGTCTGATTTAACAGAAGGTAAGGTTGTGTGTATGTGTGTGTATTTTCATAGAATGAGATGAACTTGAGTTTAGGGATACTTCCTGAAAACACTGAGTTTGGAGCTTGGACCCCCCCAAACCAGAGCTGTCATGAGGTTAGCTATAGCTTCATGTTTGGTGTTTGAGTCACTCATGTGGGAAACCATGGTGGACGTGTGCGCTCATAAACGGGAACTTACAAAGATGGTTTCTCCCTCATTGTTGCCCTTACCTCCGAATCCTCTTAACCTCTGCTTTCCCGAATTTTCCTTTTATGCCTGTTAGTTTTTCTTTCGGTTTTTACCAGAGTAAACAGTGTGGTTTTTTTGTTTTAGTCTCACACGGTTGCCAGGTTAAAATGCCTACTGTGGCCTAAGCTGGCCCACTCACTCGGTCTAGCTTGATTGTGTCTTGGAAAGCTGATCTTTCCCTTCTAGAAGGAGAGAGCACACACTCACTGGTATTTTTTTAAACATCTTTCTTTACTGTAGTGGTTCCCAACGGGGGACAATTTTGCCCCCTTGGGGGACATTTGGCAACATATGGAGACATTTTTGGTTGTCACAACTGTGTGTGTTACTGGCATCTGGTGCGGAGAGGCCAGAGATGCTGCCAAACATTCTATAATTCAGGGACAGTCGGTCCCCTGTAATCAAGAGTCTTTTGGCCTGAGGTGTCAGTAGTGCCAAGGCTGAGAAAACCTGCTCTACAGAGAGGCAAGTTCTAGTGTCCAGAACACGAGTCAGGGTTTTCCCTCAAGGAGTCCCAGGAGTTGACCTCTTCGGTAGAAATGGGAGGGAGGGAGGCCACTTGCTCTGTGAGCTGGCAGAGAGCAGATGGCAGGAGCCTTGGCACAAGCCAGTGTGGGGCGTTGTGCTTCAGAAACTGTAAAATTGCCCTTTTAACACAGATCCAAAGAGAATTGCCTTGGCTATGTTCTAAAGTCTTTCTGCGATGCAGGTTGCTGAGGTGTGAAATACAAAAGTTGCCATGACCTTGATTTTCTTTCCAGAAGAGGGAGGGAGGGTCTACCAGAACCACTGAGTGGATGGTAAGGAGAGTCAGATTTATTGTCCAGCTGGTGGTGTGCCTTGCCTCGGTGCCCGTTCCGCTTGACAGAGCCTCTCGTTGTGCCCTCAGAGGAGTGCCAGCAAGGCACAGCAGCCCGCAGAGCGAGGAGCAGTTAGCCTGAGGCCACGTGGGGTGGGAAGAGGCACTGCCCAGCCTTCACCAGTTCACAGCTGGGGCTCAAAATGTATTGAAAGGATCAGTTTTGGGAATCATTTAAGGAATAGGTTTCTTTCTCTTCCTCTTTCCTTGCTTATTTACTTAGCGTGCCCGCAGTGGGAGAGGGGCAGAGGGAAAAGAAGACTCCCCGCTGAGCAGGGAGCCAGACTGGGGACTTGGTCCAGGGAATCCAGGATCATGACCTCAGCCGAAGGCAGATTCTTAACTGAGTGAGCCACCCAGGTGTCCCAGGATACTGCATTTTTTTATTAGATCTAACACATCACTGAGAGATGCAACAACATGAATGAATCTCACATCACGTTGAGCAAAGAAACCAGAGAACATTCTGCATGATTATATTGATTTCCAGAACCACCAAAGCTAATTGGTGGATTTCCAAGTCAGAATTCTAGTGACCCTGGGGTATGAAGGGTGGTTGTTGATTGCAAAAGAGCATAAGTGAACCTTCTGGGATGCTGGAAATGCATAGTTTTATAAGTAAAATGTATCAGTTTCGCACACAAGGTTTGTTCTGGTCCCTATTTGTAACTCTAGTGCCTCGAGAATGCCAGGCTGGTCCCTAGAGGTCAGTCTGTCCAAACCCCTCACTTTGCAGAGAAGTACCTGGAAGGGGATGAGCCAAATCCACACTGGAATACATCTTCTAGGATGCAGTTCATTATACCCCCTGCCTCCTCTTTACATTTGGACATCAAACATGTCTACCCGTCTTTCTGTCCCCCATCACCCAGCCAGTTGCGTGTCCATGCTTCACCTTTCTATGGAGGGAGGGCTCTGACTGCTCTAGTCCTATGCTCAGCTTCTGTAGGCCTGAGGTTGCTGAGTCCTCGGCCCTGCGCAGTGGCCAAGTTGTGGTGGACACTAGCTTCCAACCAGAGCTAGCCTCAGGTTCCCCTTCTGTCCTCTTCTGTCTTAGGGTTGCGTACCCACAGGACTGCGGACCTTCCCCCTGTTAATGTCCACCTCCTCAGCAGCAATCTACAGGGCTTGGCTGAGAGCCAGCAAGGCGTGGAGTGGGGAGAGGCAAGCAGCCCCCATTCCATTCAGTCCCTGAGGCTAGCAGCTGACTCTTCCTCCCCATCTGAACCCCTCACTTCCTGTCCCTTGCTACCCTGCCTCTTCCCCTCAGCTGATACTCTGCTTTGACCCCTGCCGCCCACACTGGGTCTCAGAGCAGGCCTCCGTGGGCCCCACTTTGTGCATTTCCTCCCTCTTATCTCAGATTCTCTGCCCTCCTGATGGGCCATCCTGGGCCAGCTTCCCAGGGATGTACTGTGAGCACACAGGTTGGTTTTCGGGGTGCCAGGATCGCTGCCACCTCCACACTCCTCTGTCCCTCTGCTCCCCTCAGAAGCCCAGGCCCAGCCCCCTCCTCCCACGTGAGAAGCAGCAGCACCACTGCCTAGGGCTGCCAAAGTGGGCTCTCTGTTCCCATTTGAAGGCCATTCGCATCTGAAATATGTTTCCCCGGAACACACAAAGAATCCTAAAAGGAGTGTAGAAAACTTCACCCCTGAGTCCCAAGGCCCTGTACTTCCCACAGCACAATCAGCTGTAAGATGGCTAAAGGGACAGGGTGAATGGCTTCTTTCTAGTGTGGCTGTCCTCACAGCCTGAGATTACTAGTCAGTGGCCTTCAATTTTTTAAAAAAGATTTTATTTATTTATTCATGAGAGCCACAGAGAGGCAGAGACACAGGCAGAGAGAGAAGCAGGCTCTATGCAGGGAGCCCGATGCGGGACTTGATCCCAGGACTCCAGGATCACGCCCCGGGCTAAAGTCAGATGCTCAACCGCTGAGCCACCCAGGGATCCCTTTTTTTTTTTAAAAAGATTTTTTTTTTTAAGATTTTATTTATTTATTCATAGACACACAGAGAGAGGCAGAGACACAGGCAGAAGGAGAGGATGAGGGAGAAGCAGGCTCCATGCAGGGAGCCCGATGCAGGACTCGATCCCAGGTCTCCAGGATCACACCCCAGGCTGCAGGCAGCGTCAAACCGCTGCACCACCAGGGCTGCCCTTTTTTAAAGATTTTATTTATTTAAGTCAGTGGCCTTCAAAAGTACTGAGTGGGGGGACGCCTGGGTGGCTCAGCGGTTGAGTGTCTGCCTTTGACTCAGGGCGTGGTCCTGGAGACCTGGGATCGAGTCCCACGTCGGGCTCCCTATGTAGAGTCTGCTTCTCCTTCTGCCTGTGTCTCTCATGAATAAATAAATAAAATCTTAAAAAAAAAAAAAGTACTGAGTGGGAACGGAGGCTGGATTTCCGAGTGACCCAGATCTGGGTTCTACTCGTGGTTCTACGTTCCTGTGTCACCCTAAGTGAGACTCTCTCTTCTCAGCGGGGGTCCTGCACAGGTCAAGTATCCTTCCAGGGGTGTCCAGGGGTCTCACATACTGTTCAGGTGTCCATCACTGGTGAGGGAATATCAACAAGTTCAGGTTTCTCCACATTGCAGAGACATACCTTCCCCCCAACCCCCACGTGTCTTGTTTCAACCTGGTGCATTTTCTTTCAAAAGTCATGTGATGAGGGGCTTTCCATCTTGGCTGGGCTGGGACACAAAATGGGGATTTGGCTGTTGAACTGGCAAAAGACTTGCAGACCAGAGAAAAGTCTGCAGGTGACTGAGATAAGTGATCATGCAAAGCTACTGGAGAATGTGCTCTTTGCATTTCCATAGGCAGGTGTCCCTTCTGAGGTGTCCTGCAAAGACAGGTACTTGGCAAATGTTTGAAGTCCAGGATGAGGGCTCCTGTTCAGCAAGACTCCCACTTTCCAGTCACACCAGCCCTTCGGAAGGCCACAGCAAGGCTCTAAAGTGGGTCTCAAAAGCCTGGGACTGCCACTCTCAGGAGCCCCAGGAACCCCGGCCTCTACTTTCCCCTCTGGGATCCTGTGGTAGCCACTCCCCTCTCAGGGCCTCACCCAGCAGCTGCTCCC